ACTTTTTTTTTGCTTCTTTACAATTACAAGATACAATTCAACATACAGTACAAGTCCTGATATACTCTATATAGTGGGATGTTTTGATGTGTATTGAATGTTAAGTTAGTTCCTAAGTAGAGATGAAGTTGGTATGCCATTATACATTTCTGTGCTGATGTTCTCATGGCCATTTTATAGGTCTCCTATCTTTTCTCTGACAGTTACCTTGATTTTGTATGAAAATTTCTATATGCATAAATAACTCCAACACAAAGTATTGGTTGATAATTAGATCTCTATGTGATCATTATCCATATAATACCATTTGGTAACCCCAAATGATCCAGGAAGTGAGAGAGGTGGTCAGTTTTCTACATATACAGTTGACTTGACTTGACACGCAGTAGCTTTTAGTGTTTGCACAAGTCTGTCATGGTCAAAAATATGGTAGCACCATTTTTCACAGGAGCAAGAATTAAAACAGGATAACATTGCAAACTAAAATCTAGGTCCACCCATAGCTGATATTTTAGTTAGTGGTTGGGGATGATGGGATAATTCACCCACTGGCTATCTGAAGGGGTGCAGACAGGGAGATCTCCACCCACCATAATGGTCAAAGTACAGGTTCTGGCATTGAAACACTGCCCCACTCCCCCCACCAAACAATACCCCAAACATCCCCTTTAGCTAAATATATATAAAGAAAACTAAGCTAAATTCCCCAAATGTGGTGTTTTGGATCTTAAATCTTCTTGCCTCTTCACTGTACAGTGTGAGTGCTCTTCAAGTATCCACATCCTTGCTTGGTGAGATGGTCACTTCCAAGTGGTCCATGGGCGGGGTACGTATAGGGTCCAAAAGTCCCCCAGCAGAAGTGTGGTAATGTCACAAGAAGGGGGGTTAACAAGACTTGTTGAAAGCAGGCCCAGACTTGAGCAAAAATAACCAGTCTTCACTCCAGGAAGAGGTATTGCTGAGGGTCACGCAAGAGTGGAATGTGGAAAATTAAAAGAAGCTTAGAAAAGGTTTTTGTTAAATATGAGTGGGTGAGACATAAGCAAGGATTTCCTGTGATGCTCAGGAATGGGTTTTAGGAGCAACTCTCTTGCAGCCAGAAATCCAGATTGATAAAAGAAGTTGATGAGTGACTCAACTAACTTACATCTCACTTAAAACAAAACTTTAGGGTACACTTATGTACACCATTCTTCTATTAGTTCCTTCATGCATGACTTATGTTGGTGTTATATTTTTAAGATAACAAGGAATAGCTAATGTTCTGTATCTCTTCAGAGAAGAAAAAGCACAAACCGGTAAGAACTGGAACACCACAACATGCAGGCACACAGAAGCCAAAGATTCTCCAAGAGGATAAAACTAAGAAGCCTATAGATGCCAACTCATTGCCATCCTTACCAACTGTTTTAAGTTTAATTCCACCAACTCCGCATCACATCCCTTCTCTGCCTAGTGGCTGCCTCCTATCTGAATCAACCATTGCTTGTGGTAACACAAAGATGACCTTCCTTCCACTCATCACTGATCTAGGACTGAAGACACTCTACTTAGCCGGTAAGAACAGCACACTGGGTTTATACAAAGCTAAAGTAATGGAGAATTTATAGTAGTAGGTCTTGAAAATGTGTATTAGGAGAATTTTAATTGGGTTTATAACTTAAAGGTGACCTGTACCTACATAAATATGAAATAGTGGTAAGGCTTGCAGCGCCCCCCGATATTCAGGCGTTAAGATCACCCATCCAGGAGTGTAAGAGTATTATTTAAAAGATGCAGCTTGAACCAACCTGGTGTTTAGAGAATGTTTGGCCTCAGCCAGCGCTGCTCTGCCCATGCCCTCTGCCTTGTTTCATATCATCCATCAGGGCTTGGTCACAGAGATCACATCATTTCAAGGGGCGTGGCTGGAGCAGCATTGGCTGAAGCCATATATTTTTCTAAGCACCAGGTTGCTTGGAGAACCATCTTTTGCATAATACAGAAATATGTGAACTATTTTGGAGCTCCTTGTGAAAATCCTAGTTGCCCTCTCTCTCTGGCTTCAATGCTTTCTGAGATACTGATGTGATAGAAACAAGCATAAGTCAGCAATGGCAGTTCCTTAAAGGTGGACCCAGCATCAGATAATTCTTTGTAAGCTAATCATGATGTAATTGTGACACAGTACTCCCTTTCCCCTCATCAATGCCTTTATTTGCATTGCTGCCTAGAAGGATGACAAAATCTTAATTCAGGCACTATCTAGGGCAGCCTTTCTCAAACTTTTTATCCGGCGGAAACACTTGAAAAAATTCTCAGGTCTCAGGCAACCCCTGCTAAAATTACTCTACCTACATTTTATGGTAAAAAAGCATGAACAGGTAATCTGTTGAAGGTTTTACATAAAAAATAAGGAATTTGGTATACATAGAATATTTAACACCTAGAGCTGATTATTTTACAACACTTCCTTGCTCTATACATGAATATTAAGCATTATAATAAATTAGTAATAATGTCCAGAAAAGAAACAGGTTGCAAAAAAGGTCCTTTTATGTCCTCTTGTCAGTGAATAAAGTGTCCACTTACATAAGTGGTCACTGGAGAATAATTGCTTTACATTGGTGGTCAGTGGAGAAATGTCTCCTTATATTGGTGGTCAGTGGAGAAATGTCCCTTCATGCTGGTGATCACTGGGGAAAAGTCCTCTTGCACTGGAAGGCAATGCAGAAGTGTCGCCTTACATTACATGTCAGTGGGAACAGACTCATTGCATTAGTAGTCATTGTAATTGGGTAATCAATTTTTCCCTGCTCAATGAACTCCTAACAATCTCTGGAGGATCCCTATGGTTCCATAGAACCATGGTTGAGAAAAACTGATCTAGGGGTACTATCTACTTCCTGGACGGAGATGCTGGCTCTGAGATGACACATCCTGTGCAGTTCTTGGTTTCTTGTATCAGTGCCTAGGGCAGCAAGGTTGCAAGACATCAACAAGCCTCAAATGTTGCAGCCTGAAATCATTTGTTCCTTATTTTGTTTCCCTACTATGGTTGGGTCTGGACATTTGAGGCTAAATTCAGCAGAACTATAGGGATTATCGTTCAAACAGTGTTTAGCACTTGAGAAGCTGGGACCTGCTTTTTACTACATGGAAAATTTTCACAAGATGTTTGGGAACCCTTCTGACTAATCATGAATTATTCTCTTTTGTTTCCATGGAAAAAAGGAACAATTCTATCAAGATCCACTCCCATGATTTCTAAAGGTTTTTTTTTTTTTTACAATGTCATATATAACTTTGAAAGTGTCTGTCCATCTGTCATCAGTCTGAAAGTACACTATATTGTCAATAATATTGGGACGCCTGCCTTTACATATACACGAACTGTAATGGCATCCCAGTCTTAGTCCGTAGGGTTCAACACTGAGTTGGCCCACCCTTTGCAGCTATAACAGCTTCTACTTTTTTGGGAAGGGTGTCCACAAGGCTTAGAACTGTGTCTATAGGAATGTTTAACCATTCTTCCAGAAGCGCACTTGTGAGGTCAGGCATTGATGTCGAACGAGAAGGCCTGGCTCCCAGTCTCCACTCTAATTCATCCCAAAGGTGTTCTATCGGGTTGAGGTCAGGATTCTGTGTAGGCCAGTCAAGTTCCTCCACCCCAAACTCGCTCATTCATATCTTTATGGACCTTGCTTTGTGCACTGGTGTACAGTCACGTTGGAACAGGAAGGGGCCATCCCCAAACTGTTTCCACAAAGTTGGGACCATGAAATTGTCCAAAATGTCTTGGTATGTTGACGCCTTAAGAATTCTCTTCACTGGAACTAAGGGGCCAAGCCCAACCCCTGAAAAAACAAACACACACCATAATCTCCCCTCCACCAAACTTTACACTTGGTCACTCCAGAGAACACGTCTCCACTGCTCTGGAGTCCAGTGGCGGTGTGCTTTTACATCACTGCATCTGATGCTTTGCATTGCGCTTGGTGATGTAAGGCTTGGATGCAGCTGCTTGGCCATGGAAACCCATTCCATAAAAAATTAGAGAAATTGGCGCTGGAGAGAAAAGGAAGTCCAAAAATATAAGATAGTAGACCGTATTATACAGTTTTTTTGGTATAATGTAATCAGCAACATCAGGAGGCAGCACCCTTAGAGTAAAGCTGGACTCTGTGCATGGAGAAGAAAAGGAGAGGAGAGAGGGACGCCAGACTAAGTGCAGTATTAGAAGGTTGTTTAAACTGAGCAAGGTAACTTGGGTAACTCACTAGATAACAGCAGAGAAAGGCATGTGTTTCAGGATGGACATCATCCTTAAGAGGTCCTGGAGGCTGATGGAGAGGGTGGATTATCATCTAGGAGCAAAGGCTCCTAAAGCTCCCAAGGCTGCTGGGGAAGCCAGGTCTCCTGATTCCACACTTACCTTCCAGCGGCTGTGATGGAAACCAAGCTAGAACGCAGATGGCTGCCGAGCGGATGTGACGTCACCACGTGAGCGTAATGCCACAAAAAGGGGGTGGTAACACGTTTCGAAGCATCAACCTCTTCATCAGAGGTCTGAAGAAGAAGCCGTTGCTTCGAAATGCGTTACCGCCTCCTTTTTGCGGCATTACGTTCATGTGGTGACGTCACGTCTGCCTGGCAGCCATCTGCGTTCCAGCTTGGTTTCCATTACAGCCACTGGATGCTAACAGCGTGGAATCTGGAGACCTGGCTCCCCGATGATAATCCACCCTCTCCATCAGCCTCCGGGACCTCTTAAGGATGACGTCCATCCTGAGACCTATGCCTTTCTCTGCTGTTATCTAGTGAGTTACCCAAGTTACCTTGCTCAATTAAAAAACCTTGAAACCCATTCCATGAAGCATCCCATGTTGTGCTAATCTGAAGACCACACAAAGTTTGGAGGTCTTTAGCTATTGACTCGGTGACAGTTGGTGACTTCTGCGCACTGTGCGCTTCAGCATGCGCTGACCCTGCTCTGTCATTTTATGTGGCCTACTACTTCGTGGCTGAGTTGCTGTTGTTCCCAGTTGCTCCACTTTGTTATAATACCCTAACAGTTGACCGTGGCATATTTAATAGCAAGGAAATTTCATGGATGGACTTATTGCACAGGTGCCAATCTATTACGGTACCACGCTTGAATTCACTGAGCTCCTGAGAGCAACCCATTCTTTCACATACAGGTGAAACTCAAAAAATTAGAATATCTTGCAAAAGTTCATTTATTTCAGTAATGCAACTTAAAAGGTGAAACTAATATATGAGATAGACTCATTACATGCAAAGCAAGATAGTTCAAGCCGTGATTTGTCATAATTGTGATGATTATGGTTTATAGCTCATGAAAACCCCAAATCCACAATCTCAGAAAATGAGAATATTGTGAAAAAGGTGCAATATTCTCGGCTCAAAGTGTCCCACTCTAATCAGCTAATTAAGCCATTACACCTGCAAAGGGTTCCTGAGCCTTTAAATGGTCTCTCAATCTGGTTCAGTAGGAATCACAATCATGGGAAAGACTGCTGACCTGACACCATCATTGACACCCTCCATAAGGAGGGAAAGCCTCAAAAGGTAATTGAAAAAGAAGTTGGATGTTCCCAAAGTGCTGTATCAGGGCACATTAATAGAAAGTTATGTGGAAGGGAAAAGTGTGCAAGAAAAAGGCGCACAAGCAGCAGGGATGACCGCAGCCTGTAGAGGATTGTCAGGAAAAGGCCATTCAAAAGTGTTGGGGACTTTCACAAGGAGTGGACTGAGGCTGGAGTCAGTGCATCAAGAGCCACCACACACAGACGGATCCTGGACATGGGCTTCAAATGTCGTATTCCTCTTTTCAAGCAGCTCCTGAACAACAAACAACATCAGAAGCATCTTACCTGGGCTAAAGAAAAACAGACCTGGTCTGTTGCTCAGTGGTCCAAAGTCCTCTTTTTTCTGATGAGAGCAACTTTTGCATCTCATTTGGAAACCAAGGACCCAGAGTATGGAGGAAGAATGGAGAAGCACACACTGCAAGATTCTTGAAGTCCAGTGTGAAGTTTCCACAGTCTGTGTTGATTTGGGGAGCAATGTCATCTGCTGGTGTTGGTCCACTGTGCTTCATTAAGTCCAGGTCAATGCAGCCGTCTACCAGGAGATTTTGGAGCACTTCATGTTTCCTTCCGCAGACGAGCTTTATGGGGATGCGGACTTCATTTTCCAGCAGGACTTGGCACCTGCCCACACTGCCAAAAGCACCAAAACCTGGTTAAATGACCGTGGGATTACTGTGCTTGATTGGCCAGCAAACTCGCCTGACCTGAACCCCATAGAGAATCTATGGGGCATTGCCAAGAGAAAGATGAGAGACATGAGCCTGAACAATGCAGAAGAGCTGAAGGCCGCTATTGAAGCATCCTGGTCTTCCAAAACAACTCAGCAGTGCCACAGGCTGATAGCTTCCATGCACATTGAGGCAATAATTGCTGCAAAAGGGGCCCAAACCAAGTACTGAGTACATTTACATGCTTATACTTTTCAGAGGTCCGATATTGTTCTATGTACAATCCTTGTTTTATTGATTGCATGTAATATTCTAATTTTCTGAGATTGTGGATTTTGGGTTTTCATGAGCTGTAAACCATAATCATCACAATTATGACAAATCACGGCTTGAACTACCTTGCTTTGCATGTAATGAGTCTATCTCATTTATCAGTTTCACCTTTTAAGTTGCATTACTGAAATAAATGAACTTTTGCACAATATTATAATTTTTCGAGTTTCACCTGTATGTTTGTAGAAACAGTCTGCATGCCTAGTTGCTTGATTTTATACACCTGTGGCCATTGAGGGGATTGGAACACCTGAATCACATGATTCAGAGGGGTGTCCCAATAATTTTTGCAATATAGTGTATATCTAAACCCAAGAACAAAAATGTAATATATTGCAGCTTACCATTCCTTAGATGTGGTGGCTGCATCACTTTCTTTAGGCTAAATACATTTTCTGTAAGTACAGAAAATACCTGTTGACCCTTCCTGCCCAGGCCAATTTTCAGCTTTCAGTACTGTTGCACTTTGAATGACAATTGCGCGGTCATGCAACATAGTGCCCAAACTAAATTCTTATCATTTTGTGAGACAAATAAAGCTTTCTTTTGGTGGTATTGCTAAACAAACAAAATAGACAAAACATTTAAAGAAAAGCTTGTTTTTAGTTTCTGTTCTAAAGTTTTGTAAATTAGTGTTTTTTCTCTTTCACTGATGTGCACTGATAGGCACTGGTGAGGCTACTCCGATATGCACCACCGATGGGCACTGATAGGCCACACTGATAGGCACTAACAGCCAACAATGATGGGTACTGATGACCAGCACTGATGGGGCTACACTGATCATCAGGACCTTGATGATCAGTGTATATAAACAATATTGACACTATGATGCAGCGCTAAATATATAGCTGGCTGGTGGATATACCCACCCTATGTAATGGATAATGGAAAGTAACAAAAACCATGCGATACAATATTCTACATATGGTGTTAGATCTAATCGGATCTGATTCAGTGATACACAAGTGATAATCAGTGCAAAGTAAGAGGTTCTATAGAACCTATGTAGGTGGTATAAATTTACTTCCCGTCTAGGGATTGATTAAAGCAGAAATGAACGTGATTACAGTTTGTATTCAGTATGTAAGCTCATTAAAGCACATCATATGGGACCATAAAAGACTCCATAGTGTAATACTGTTATTTATTGCTAAAATAGGATAAAAATCGCCAAAATGCCCACTCACATTTCTGTAGAAATCAACAAGCTTTTTACACAACTAACATGGGTGTACTGGATGCACCCTGGTACACGCCTGTGGATGGAGGTGTAAGAGGGAGTGAAGGAGAGACCAGTAGGGACTGTGGAGCCTGTCCCACCCGGAGATTGCAAGCAGGATCCAGGGTGATCCAAAAGGCGTTGTGGCCCTAGCGGGTCGCAGCGGGAAGGTGAGCGTGCATGCCTGCTGTGTAGGATTCTCACTTCACTTTCTCACCAAACACAGGAGCGCGCATGAAAACGCACGGCTGGAGTGACCATGCAGCATTTTGAAAGTTTCATATGGACTTTTATGTGTTATTATGGTTTGTTTTAATACGGGTCATTGCACATATCACTTATGTGGTAGTATTTATCCCTGTATAGGGATTCACTGTGGTTTTAATCACGTTCATTTCTGCTTTAATCAATCCCTAGACGGGAAGTACATTTATACCACCTACATAGGTTCTATAGAACCTCTTACTTTGCACTGATCACTTGTGTATCACTGAATCAGATCCGATTAGATCTAACACCATATGTAGAATATTGTATCGCATGGTTTTTATGTTACTTACCATTATCCATTACATAGGGTGGGTATATCCACCAGCCAGCTGTATATTTAGTGCTGCACCATAGTGTCAATATTGTTTATATCCATCTTGAGGGGATGTTTGGATGCTAGCTGCTCCCGTATAGATTTGCATAGCAGCGCAGGGGGACCCCCAATCATAATATCTGATGATCAGTGTAGATGTCCACTCTGAAAAATGCTGCTTACTGGCTCTCTTCACGTGCTGTCAGCTTGAGGAGAGGAGTGCAGATAGCCAACATGTCCTGTTTACACTGTCATCAGCTGTCAGGGCTCCGGGTATGACCAGAGGTGTGTGGACTGACACAGGGAAACGCAGGCTTCAGATATAGTATAAACAATATAATTTATTTAAGACTAAACAATACATAAACACAGTGTAAGACTAAACATAAACACAGTGCAAACAAACCAAACCCCACATCAGATAACAAAAGAATACTAAGCGTAGTCGGGCAGGCCGGGTCGGTAGCAAACGGGCAGGCAAAGTACAAAGGAACAGGCAGAGCGTAGTCAGACGGGCCTGGTCAGGAACAATCAGGCAGACAAAGTACAAAGGAGCAGACTGGAGAGTGGTCAGGAATAGCAGAGGTCAGGACAGGCGGATTCAATCAGAGTCAGGGATCAAGCAGGATCAGACAGGAAGCAGACAGGATGCAGGTACAGGGGCTCTTGGGAAACATACACCAAGGCCCTGATTGCAAGTCTGGCCATTCCTTATATGCACCTTCTGCAATCAGCCTCAGGTGTTTTGGCTGACTGCAGGAGTGAGCCTCTGGTTGCTGAGAGCACCCGCTGGCCAGTCCTGGTACTGCAACCCACAAGGCAGGTGAGTCCCACCACTATTGGCGAGTCCATTCCTGACATCAGCTGTGAATGGACACAGCTGATCACATGGTAAAAGGCATCTCTGATTGCCCTTTAACTGGACACGTACTCAGCTGTGTCCAAAGGGCACAGCAATCACAGCTTGCATACGGTGCGTGCCCCAGGGGGGCATGGGTGGTGTGGTTCTGGGAGGACGTCCATGGATGCCCTCCCAGAACTAGCTGGACCGTGCTATAGCCATCTTTTGGCTATAGTATGATCAAGAACTGGTCAATATGAATCCAATGTCCCTGTAACTTCCTGTGCCCTGCACTGAAATCTCAAAAAAAATGTTATCCGGAGGTGTTTCTAGTGCAGAAGAACCTTGGGTGACAACTAGGAATGAACATGAGTTTGACTCAAACTCAGAAGTTAGCGGTCATTGCTGGACAAAGGAGTGTGTGTACACAATGGGGCGGGGATGCTTGTGAGGACATTGACCTATTTTATACCCATGGACAACATGGACAAATTAGATCAATGCTACTGACCTAATATGACCATGTGCCCATATTAGATTAATGATGTTGCAAACATGCCTTGCCCCTCTTGGTATGTCACCTGCGGGGTGAAGAATCTCCTGCCCATAGTCCATTGGCCCAGGAATGAGAACTAACCTTCAGGTTCTGACTGAATGCAAGCCCAAGCCCAAGCTTATCACTCCATAGATACAATTCCAAAGACAAAAGACAGAGGTTCTATGTTCACATCCTATATATCAGACAGAACACAATTTTTGTACCTAGAGGACTTTACAGGGCATATGAGATATCACTGGTATCGCACAAATACATGTATTAAAAATTTGTATTTTATTATACAAATGATAAAAATGTAACACCATATCTATATATTGCAACAGAAAATTCTCATTATGTTCTACACATGAGTTAATATCAACGAAAACATTCCACATACCAGCTCAACACTTTTCAAGCATTCATATGTCTTCTTCAGGACCACATGTGAATGATATCCATGTGGTCGAACATAGTCTTTAAAACCAAGTATGTATGTGTCTACTACAAAATGCTGTCAATGTCAAACACGTGCATAGACATTACGCCTCATTACGCATCAGACTATAATGGTCCAGTCTACAGCCTTAACAATACATGTTTATAAATTGATTTGAGGAGACTGTGTGCTGCTCTTTATTTATGGAAACAGGCTTGGTGGCTTTGTTGGCATCCATTGTATTTGGATTTGGTGTCTCAAGTCTTAGGACGTTCCCTGCTGTCCCTATGTAAATGATGGCTTATGTTGACAACTTTCTGCAGCATTGGCTCCCTTTGCTGTCAATCACAGCCAGTGTGTCAATGAGAAGAGAGAGGGGGTGGGGCTGAGCCATGGCTCCATGTGTGAATGGACACACGTAGCAGCGGGTGCCCATATAGCAAGCTGCTTGCTGTGGGGGCACCCAACGGCAGGGAGGGGTCAGGAGAGAATGGGGGAGACCTGAGGAGGATCTGGGTTTCTCTGTGCAAAAACCACTGCACAGAGCAGTTACGTATAGACCCGTTTGTTATTTAAAAAAAAAAAAAAAAAAAAAAATTATTATATATATATATATATATATAGACTCACTTTAACCACTTGCCAACCACATGCTTCACTGCGGCCGGCCAGTTCTGGGAGGGCATCATATGATGTCCTCCCAGAACCCGCTCTCCTGTGCGCTTCCGGGGCATGCACCTGGTGATCTCCGTGATTGCTGTGTCCTACTGACACAGCTGATCACGTGATGTGGTAAAAGGCCAATCACAGCGGCCTTTTACTATGTGATCAGCCATGTCCAATGACACACTGATCACCAGGAAATGCAATTGCCGGTTATCGGCTGTCACAGCATGAGGAAAGTACTGCCAAGAACCGGCAGTTGTCAGAGGGATCAGCACCGATCATCAGGGCACTGATGATTAGTGCCCTGATGATCGGTGCCCAGCAGTGCCACCCAGCAGTGCCATCCACAAGTGGCCAGCAGTGCCACCCACCTGTGCCCATCAGAGCAGCCCAGCAGTGCCACCCATCAGTGCAGCCCAGCAGTGCCACCAGTCATTGCTGTCAGTCAGTGTCATCAGTGCCGACTATCAGTGCCCATTATCAGTGCCAGCTGATCAGTGCTGCCTATCAGTGTCGTCTATCAGTGCCGCCTATCCGTGCCGCCTATTAGTGCCGCCTATCAGTGCTGCCTATCAGTGCAGACTCATCAATGTAAATTGCCTGTTTGTTTCTATTATAACATTTTGCAAAGAAAAACTTTTTTTTTTAAAATTTTGTGCTTTTTTGTTTATAGCACAAAAAATAAAACACCCAGCGGCAAGTAAATACCACCAAAAGAAAGCTCTATTTGTGTGAAAAAAATGATAAAAAAAATGTCATATGGGTACAACGTTGCATGACCGTGCAATTGTAATTCAAAGTGCGACAGCACTGAAAGCTGAAAATTGGCCTGGGCAGGAAGGGGGTATAAGTGTCCAGTAGGTAAGTGGCTAAAAACTATATTCAACCATATGGAAATCAATCGCATATTCTGAAGACATACAAATGTTTGAAACACATTGAGCTGGCATACGGAGTATTCTAACTGATATAAACTCATGTGTAGAATATACAGTGGGGTAAAAAAGTATTTAGTCAGCCACCAATTGTGCAAGTTCTCCCACTTAAAAAGATGAGAGAGGCCTGTAATTGGCATCATAGGTAGACCTCAACTATGAGAGACAAAATGAGAAAAACAAATCCAGACAATCACATTGGCTGATTTGGAAAGAATTTATTTGCAAATTATGGTGGAAAATAAGTATTTGGTCAATATCAAAAGTTCATCTCAATACTTTGTTATATATCCTTTGTTGGCAATGACAGAGGTCAAACGTTTCCTGTAAGTCTTTACAAGGTTGGCACACTGTTGCTGGTATGTTGGCCCATTCCTCCATGCAGATCTCCTCTAGAGCAGTGATGTTTTGGGGCTGTCGCTGGGCAACACGGACTTTCAACTCCCTCCAAAGGTTTTCTATGGGGTTGAGATCTGGAGACTGGCTAGGCCACTCCAGGACCTTGAAATGCTTCTTACGAAGCCACCACCTATGTTTGGGATCATTGTCATGTTGGAAGACCCAGCAACGTTTCATCTTCAATGCCCTTGCTGATGGAAGGAGGTTTGCACTCAAAATCTCATGATACATGGCCCCATTCATTCTGTCCTGTACATGGATCAGTGCGTTCTTTGCGGAGAAAACAGCCCCAAAGCATGGTGTTGCCACCCCCATGCTTCACAGTAGGTATGGTGTTCTTTGGATGCAACTCTGCATTCTCTCTCCTCCAAACACGACGAGTTGTGTTTCTACCAAACAGTTCTATTTTGGTTTCATCTGACCATATGACATTCTCCAAATCCTCTTCTGGATCATCCAAATGCTCTCTAGTAAACTTCAGACAGGCCCGGCTTAAGCAGGGGGACACGTCTGGCACTGCAGGATCTGAGTCCCTGGGGCGTAGTGTGTTACTGATGGTAGCCTTTGTTACGTGGTCCCAGCTCTCTGCAAGTCATTCACTAGGTCCCCCCGTGTGGTCCTGGGATTTTTGCTCACCGTTCTTGTGATCATTTTGACCCCACGGGGTGAGATCTTGCATGGAGCCCCAGATCGAGGGGGATTATCAGTGGTCTTGTATGTCTTCCATTTTCTAATTATTGCTCCCACAGTTGATTTGTTCACACCAAGCTGCTTGCCTATTGCAGATTCAGTCTTCCCAGCCTGGTGCAGGTCTACAATTTTGTTTCTGGTGTCCTTAGACAGCTCTTTGGTCTTTACCATAGTGGAGTTTGGAGTGTGAATGTTTGAACTTGTTATCAGTATAAAAGACACCTGTCCACAACCTCAAACAGGGGCCATTGATACAGGTAATCAGTCCTGCACAGAGGAGCCTCTTAAAGAAGAAGGTACAGGTCTGTGAGAGCCAGAAATCTTGCTTGTTTGTAGGTGACCAAATACTTATTTTCCACCATAATTTGCAAATAAATTCTTTCCAAATCAGCCAATGTGATTGTCTGGATTTTTTTTCTCATTTTGTCTCTCATAGTTGAGGTCTACCTATGATGCCAATTACAGGCCTCTCTCATCTTTTTAAGTGGGAGAACTTGCACAATTGGTGGCTGACTAAATACTTTTTTGCTCCACTGTATGTGAATTTTCTGTTGCAACATATGGATATGGTGTTACATTTTTATACTTTGTATATTAAAATATGAATTTTTAATATATATATTTGTGCGATACCAGTAATATCTCATATTCCCTTTAACCACTTTAGCCCTTCAGATGATATACCCTCCCTTCTTGAGCTGGCCATTTTTTGCGATACTTTAACTGACAATTGCATTGTCATGCAACGCTGTACATAAATGAAATGTAGGCAATTTTTTTCCCACCAATAGAGCTTTCTTTGGGTGGTATTTGATCATCTTTGCATTTTTTATTTTTTGAGCTATAAACAGAAAAAGACCTTAAATTTTGAAAAAAATATATATTTTTGGCTTTTTTGCTAGAAAACATATCCAATAAAAAAAATTACAAGAATAAAATTTCTTCATAAATTTAGTCCAAAATGCATTCTGCTACATGTCTTTGTTAAAAAGAGTGGTGTTTGGATTGGAATGGAGAGTGGCCACAGTGGTTGAGCAATTTGAGTGTTTACTGACCATTCTATATTAGGGGGTCGGTACATTTGGCTTTTTGCCTTCACTGTGGTGTTGGGTGACACCATGCCTGCAGGGGAAAGGGAGAAGATAATGACGTGTTCCTCTTAAGGGGCACTGTCACACTAACATCACCTTGGACTATTTCTTTATCTTTAGTCAGTTTTTCACTTGAGTCCTTATAGTAACTCTATTTACTATATTGGTCCTCTTTTCACTCACACAAGACAATAATTTTTGATATATTGTTTTGTATTTATTTCCTATCAATTTGTTTGCATCCTTGCAAATTCTATAGCGCAACACTTATTATTTACAGTCATTTAATAGAGAGGATATCCGCTTTTGTGGTTAGATGGCTTTTTTTGGCTTAAATTTTGCACATTTTTGTTCGGTTTTCATTCTTTGAACTATATAGATACAGTACATTGGACTATGTAGGTGGGTCCTAGGCAGGGGCGGACTGACAACTCATGGGGCCCCCGGGCAATAGGGGATCATGGGGCCCTGTGTCCTTGCCCAAACTCAAAAAAGCCTATGAAAAAAGGTACCAAGGACATCTCATGGGGTCCCCTACTGACCCCGGGCCCTCGGGCAGTGCCCGAGTTTCCAAATGGTCAGTCCACCCCTGGTCCTAGGCCCAGGGTACCCAATCAGAGAGAGACCACACACAGTCCTTGATGTTGTAATTAGCTATATTGGTTAGCAGTAAAGGCTATAAACAGTTTTGTAGACATTGGTATAAGGAAATATAGCAATTGGTGTTTACACAGTGTTACCAGCGTTGGACCTGTATTACTAGAGGACAGCTGGAAGCAGGGCCATGGATAAGGGGGTAACACCAGTCCTCCTGTACGAGGCCCAAGCAGCTGGGTGAAATAGATGTAGGCAGGGAGGGTGATCAGCATGGTGTAGGGAGGGGGGGGGGGGTGGTAATTACTTGAACCGATCCCCTGTATTGCTCACTCTCTGCAGCAGATGAGAGCTGGCTTTTTCTCCTCTCCCTCCTGCTGGCTTTTAGCTGCTACAGAGAGCCATACAGGGGATCGTTTCCAGTAATTGCCCTGCCACCTCATCCATCACCCTCCCTGTGCACCATGTATTTCCCCCTGGTGCCCAGGCCCCCCTGTGTGCAACCCCCCCCACCCCCCCACAGTGCTTCTGGCTTCCCTTCTCGTATTTACCAGCCCCTTCCTTTCCTGAATGAACACAATAGGTTATCAGTACCGATCACTTACTGTGTTCATTCATAACTGAAGCATAGTAAACTTTGTTTTCTTTGGGGGGGGGGGGACCTTGTCAGATTAGCTGTGTGGGGCCGCGTGGTTTCTAACAACAGCCCTGGCTGGAAGGGTGGTGGTTGGTGGTGTACAAGGACAGTACTGTATTGCTGATGGAGAGAGCCCTATGTTACTACTATGGATTTAATGCAGGCATTGTCCCTGATCTGAACGTCTCCCTGTGCTATGCACTTTCCCTAGCTAGTGGGAGTTTCTGTCCCTGACCTACCAATCGCTCCAGGTGCGTCCAAATGAAGTGGGTAGCCCCAGGGGTGGACTGACAACTCATGGGGCCCCTGGGCAATAGGGGCTCATGGGGCCCCTGTGTCCTTCCCCAAACTCAAAAAAGCCTCTGAAAAAGGTACCAGGGGCATCTCATGGGGCCCCCTACTGACCCCGGGCCCTCGGACAGTGCCCAAGTTTCCAAATGGTCAGTCCGCCCCTGGATAGCCCTATTATATAGAGTCCCACACCACGATGGTGGCCAAAAATCTCCAGAGATCACAGAGTCCAACAGTCCCCAACAGACTCCACTCCCTCTGTATAATGGCACACGGTGCCACCTACAGGATGGAGGAAAATGTGCACCTGCCTACAAGTAAGCACTGCCGCCCTAGGACAGGAAATGTGTTACTGGCAGGATCATCAGGTGAAAATAAATGTATTTAAACCTAGACTGTTAAGTTAAATAAAATATTTGCTCTTGGATTGACATATCTTTGAAGTTACCTGACTCTTCATGGCTTTTTGAAATGCTGTTGTGCTTGGAGTTACAATATTCAGACTTCTTGGAAACTGGAACAGGGCACAACTGGCAGGCTTAGCAGAAGCTGCCAAGTATCACTGGTGGTGTTGGCATCAGGATGGCAGCTCTGAGGGGGACGTTTTCATCCAGTTTGGTCGGAGATGGAATTGAGGCCAAGCTGTTACATTTATATATGTGCAACAAAGGAGCCACACTGTCTACATTTCTCATGTCAGTCTGTTCTTTTTAAGACAGCACCAGTAACAGTTATGCGTCTGTAAAGTCAAAAGGTAGTTTATGAAGCCTGTGCAGCACATCTGGCCTCATTTAGTAATCTGACCATGTGTATGAGAAATGGTTGGGGCTGGAATAGAAGCAGAAAATTCTCAACCTAGATAAATACAGCTTAATCCATGAAGCAATAAACGAAACGTTCATCACATGACGCAGCATTCCACTGGATGCACATGTAGCAACAAATGGCATCAGATGTAGCAGCAGTTAAAAGGGATGAATGGAGAGAAAATGAGTTTATTTGATGTTGATGCAAATTTCATACAATCTTAACATGGTAATGTCATTTTTAAGCACACCTATAGCCAAAGAATGACAAAATAAAAATGAATAACCCATTAAAAGATAAAATAAAAAAAAAAACAGCTTTTGTTGCAGTATTCATCTTCAATCCAGAGATTTCCCCTGCAGTAGTTTTTCTGCCATTAGGTGTCATCAGTCTGATGGCCAAAATCATTCAACCCAGACTGTGACTGAACAGTAAAAGGAGAAGCAGCACAATGTTAGGTTTATCTGTCACTCTGCTTTGTCCTCCTATCAGCATGCTTCTTGGCAGCACATGAACTGATTGGCTCCAGTTCACATATAAGTATTTATACTGCTTGCATTTATACAATACACTGAATGATGGATAAATGAGCAAAGAGCTGTCTCTTGCAATTGCCTGTACTGCAGTACTTGGACAGGTAGAGGTAGGGGTAGGGCTGGGAGCCAGTCAGGTGAGCTGCAAATGTGTTGACAAGGATCATGGTGTTAAAAGGAGACAGCAGAGTGAGCAGAGGGATAACCTCATCTGTCTGCTGTTTCACGTTTGATTTAGAAGAGTGGTATCAACCACCAGGCTGTGCTGTGTGGCAGAGATGTGCAATTTTCTGAAATGGATGCATAATACCAAAACCTTTTGCAGGCAAAGCAATAAGTATTTAATCTCTAGCCGATTACCATATATTCAGCTAAAGATATTTATTTATTTCAGGTACTTATATAGCACCATCAATTTACGCAGCGCTTTACATATATATATTGTACATTCACATCAGTCCCTAACCCTCAAGGGGTGTACAATCTAAGGTCCCTAACTCACATTCATACATACACATACTAGGGCCAATTTAGACAGGAGCCAATTAACCTACCAGCATGTGTTTGGAGTGTGGGAGGAAACTGGAGTACCCGGAGGAAACCCACGCAGGCACAGGGAGAACATGCAAACTCCCAGGCAGGTGGTGCCGTGGCTGGAATTTGAACCAATGACCCTAGTACTGCCAGGCGGAAGTGCTAACCATTTGTGCTGCCCAATTAAATAATCAACAGCAACCCTTAAAATGCATACAGACAGCACAATGTCACTGCTATAGGACCCAGGTTTTTTTTTTTTGTTTGTTTTAGGGACTGCTGTATTGCAACCAGTCTATCACACTAGGGAGAAACCAAACAACAAATTAAGTTTTTCTAAGGACTGCTATTTGAAAATGTTGTGAATCTTTTGACAAGATGAAAGGTTTTTTTGTTGTTTTTTTTTTAAATTATGCTAGTTTTTCAAAATGGTGCATCCGAAAAAAAAGATAAATTACAATTATACAAAGATACAAATGCAATATTCGGTACATCTACTAATAGTTAGTCCAGCAATTCTCAAACAGGGTATGTTCAAAGGTTGCTAAGGGTTCCTTGAACTGTAGGCCATTGACCTCCACTCTGATGGTATATGTATAATGTGGACAACACCACTTGGCAGAGCCAGTGGCATTATACTAATGATTTCTTTAGTTGTCTCTAAGGAGGACATTCTGACCTCCATTGTAAGAGGGGAATTCTTTCCACTGACTCCATTTTAAGGAGTATTCATCCCACTAACCTCCAGTGAATTATTGATTTTTTTTAGTGGTTCCCTGAGATCTGAAAATTATTTCAAGGGTTCCTCTGGAGTAAAAAGGTTGAGAAAGGCAGAGTTAGTCACATTCAATAACACAATCATCAGTCCCTCCCCTCATGCCAGGGTACTAGGTTTAATCCTGGACTCCCATCTGTCCTTTCAGCCCCAAATCCAATCACTGTCCAAATCTTGTAGACTTCACCTCCGCAACATCTCCAAGATACGCCCGTTCCTAACCTCGGAAACCACTAAGCAACTTATTCACTCCCTGGTTATATCTCACCTTAACTATTGTAACTCCCTCCTCACTGGCCTACCTCATCGCAGGCTATCCCCTCTTCAGTTTATTATGAATGCTGCTGCCAGACTCATCCACCTTACTAACCGTTCTGTATCTGCCACCCCTCTCTGCCAATCCCTCCACTGGCTTCCCGTTGCCCAACGGACAAAATTCAAAACATTAACAATAACGTATAAAGCCATTTATAGCTCTGCCCAAAATTACATCAACGATCTTGTCTCTAAATATCACCCAAACCGTACTCTCCGCTCCTCGCAAGACCTCCTACTCTCTAGCTCCCTTGTCTCCTTCCTCCCATGCTCATCTCCAGAGCTTCCCCCATCCTCTGGAACTCTCTACCCCAGTTTATCAGACTATCACCTATTCTGCTCACTTTTAGGCGATCTCTGAAAACCTATCTCTTCAGGGAAGCCTATCCTGCCCTCAGCTAATATTGGAATCTTCTACTTTTCCAACCAGTCCATCCCCCACAGTTACTACCTTTTGTACCACTAGCCCCTCCCTCCTAGATTGTAAGCTCCCAGGATCAGGGCCCTCCTAACCGTCTTGTATTGAACTGTATTGTTGCTGTATTGTCTCCCGTTATATTGTAAAGCGCTGAGCAAACTGTTGGCTCTATATAAATCCTGTATAATAATAATAATAATTCAACTGGACTTGTTCTGTAAATTTGATTATGTCTCGTAGTTTATGCAAATCACTTCTTCAGCTCTAATGAGTATCAAGAAAATACCCCAGCATTCATAGCCACACAGACACCTTAATCCAACCACCATGGAATAGGCAGATTTTTTTTTTCTTTTTGCAAATTCTTTAACAATTTTCAAATTTTTCATAGCATTAGAATGTAGGCACATCCACACAGAACAATTCAGACCAGTTTACAGTTACACAAACACATATATTGAGGAGAAACTTAGACAAAACCATTAGGCCTACACCCATAAAAATGTCAGTACCATGCAGCGCGATGCTGTCAACCCACTTCTTGCCATCAAAAAACAAAACACTCCCACAATCCCAGGATAGGGAAAAGGGGCTAAAGAGATTTAAAAAGGAAGGGTGTAGGGGAGACAAGGAGGGAAAGGAAGACGGAAAAAGGGAGATCCTGGTGAACCCAAGCCTTAACTGCCACTACCAGACAGTAACAGTAACAAAGACTATGTTAGAAATACTTTGTGTGTCATACTTTGTGTGTCACCAACAGGGACTCATATTCCTGAGAGCATGTGAATGAAGTCCAGTCGAATCAAGTACGCCTGCACCATTCTTCTCTGCCATGTAGTGCTGATGTTAGGGTTTTCATTTGCTGAATTTCATGAATCTTGGAGAACCACAGCTTAAAGCGGAGCTCCAGTCCCTAGAAGAAATTTTTTTTTAAAGCTGACCCAGGATTGCTTATTCTTTAACATTAACAATTGGATAAAGTTATTTGTTATAGCCTTCTAATTAGTTTTAAATATCTAAAAGTTTACCTTGATCTCGGAAGCAGGCAGGCGCCATGATGGCTGTGGGCTTCTTAAGCCCGCAAGTCTTTATTTCCTGGAGTTGGTGCTGCTGGCTATCCAAGCATGCACCATTCGATCTCGCTCCTGCGCAGTAATGAAACTGCTCGGCACTACTTGTATACAACAGGTTGTATATATAGAACAGCACAGTCCGTAGCATAGATGTTACACTTCCTCCCCACACAGGACTCTGGTAAAATGGTGCCAAACTCCTCTCATTTGCAGCATTTCTGGTTTCAAAGTAATGCTATAGTCAGTCGCTAGGAACCCAAAAAACTCCTGGGATACAGGACCCGACATTCCAGGAGACTTTGCAAATCGCCTAGGCGGCCAGGACTGGAAGTGCAGTCTTTAAACATAATATTAAAGTATTTATAATATGAAAAAAAAAATTATTATTCAAATCATGCTGGACATCACAGGAACAATGTAAACAGAGGCACATTAAAAAAAAAAAAAAGGAACTCCGCCTAAAGGGTAGAGGGAGTCTATCACTTTCACAGGTTCAGAATGCATGCCTTGGCTGCATTCAGTAGGTGAATCAACAATGTCTTTTTATACCTCTATCTTAGTAGATGAGAGGAATGTAATCAATACTTAGCCAGGTCTTTACCTAGATCAAAGTATGTTAACTGGTGGATTTAAGCCCCAACCAAGGCCCAAAAAAGCTGAATTTTATAGCAAATCCAGAAGATGTGTAGGAGTGTACCTGCCGCTTTACGGCATCTCCAGCAGATGCTTGTTGCTTGGGGGTAAATTTTGCTTATATCCCAGTTCTTGTTACCTGTTAGAGATGGAAAAGTATTGTGCAAAATCTAAAATGTCTTTCCTTTGAGTAGGAGAAAGTGAGGTCTCCAAGTCCCTTTCCCATTTTAGTATAAAAGGGGGGACAAAGGTTTCGTCGGGGAGGACCAGTAGTCGATAAGCAGCTGAGATTGTATGAGCAGAGGGTGAAGGATTCCAAGACATTCAAAGGAAGTATCCAAGTCAGTGTGCACTTTCTGGCGACTGAAAAAAAAAGGTAATGATGCAGCAATTGGAGACTCCAAGGGGGGGGGGGGGTATCAAACATCTGGAGAACATGAACAAACTTAAGGACCAAATCAGAGACAGAGTCTCTCAAACAAAAGTGTCCTGATCTCAAAAGAAGTCTAAAATGCCTGTCAGAGATTTCAGGTGGGAATTTGGTGTTCCCCGAAACAGAGTAAAGAAGGGAAGATTGCAGAATAAATCTAGCAGAGTTGTTGGCTGTCATGAGGGTATGAATGGTTGGGTCTAATAACTGGTGACTCCGGAGGTCTGACATGTCAGGCAAGCGGAGCCAAGGAAGGCAACAAAATGGAACGTCCATAGCGGATTGTTCCAGAGAGACCCTTTATGTTCCTGTTCCGATTTTGATTGGAATGTGAAGAGTGAGTTGTGGAATCACACTGTTTGGGTTACACAATCCCATTCTTGTCATCAGAAAGGCGTCATAGGTATTAATCCTTCAATTTACATTGTTGAAGGAGTGAATTACTGCCAAAATGCTGGGGTAGAGATGTTAAATTGGAATATATGGGAGACAGATGCTGTTGAAGGTGGTGGTGTTTACCTTACGCTTAATAAAACTGAAAAAGTGGTTTTTGAAAAGCCACAAAACATCTTTAGCACTACAAAACAAGTCCAGTTGAATTTTACC